AGATTTTCTAGTCAACTTATTAGAGAAAGATTAGATAGGGCCTGGGCTAATCCTGACTGGAAACTTATCTTTCCTGAGTCAGCTGTTTTTCATCTTCCCCGTACCCACTCTGACCATTGCCCTATCCTTCTTGACCTCAACCCAATACAATCTAGACATGGGTCTCGACCTTTCCGGCTAGAGAAATTTTGGGTTGATCACCCTGAGTTTCAACTCCTGGTTCAACAAATATGGTCTGATTGTAATAGCAACACTTCTAATTGTCTCCAACAAACTATGCAAAAAGCTAGAGTTTGGAGCATTGCTGCTTTTGGGAACATATTTAAGGAGAAGAAGAAATTACTGGGTAGGTTGGAAGGAATTCAAAAATCCTCTGCTTATAACTCTTCCTCTTTTTTATGGTAACTAGAGAAGGACCTACTTCAAGATTATAATAATATTCTTAATATGGAAGCTGATCTATGGTTCATGAAATCTAGGGCTAATTGGTTGGTGGATGGAGATAGGAATACTAAGTACTTCCATTGCTCCACTATTAAGCACAGATCTAGGAACAGGATTTATGGGCTTAAAAATCAGCATGGGGAATGGGTTTATGATGGTAATTCCATTGCCTCTCTTGCTTTGGAGTATTTTAATACTCTCTTTACTACGTCACAATCTTATTCTTATTTTGATTCTTATGCTAATATTGGTTGTGATGCCCCTCATTCCTTTGACCTTAGCTCCATTAGCGGTACTCCCTCAGAAAGGGAAGTGCTGGATGCCGTCAATTCAATGAAACCTTACAAAGCTCCTGGACCGGATGGTATTCATCCCTTCTTTTATCAGAAGATGTGGCATTTTGTCAAAACCACTTTATGTCGTGATATCCAAGAGATCTTTGCTACTGGTAATATCCCTATAGAATGGTCTAAATGTCTTCTTGTCCTCATTCCTAAAGTCAATTCACCAGAATCCATCCAACAGTTTCGACCTATTAGCCTTTGTAATACCGCCTCTAGAATTATCTCTAAGATTCTTGTTCATAGGATCAAGCCTTGGATGGATAAAATTATCTCACCTTGTCAGGCCAGTTTTATCCCGGGTAGGCAAGGCACTGATAATGTTCTTATTCTTCAAGAGTTTGTCTATTCCTTTAACAAGAAGAGGGGCAGAATTGGAGACATGGTTTGTAAGCTTGATCTTGAAAAGGCGTATGATAGATTAGAATGGAGCTTTATCCATGAAACTCTTATTTTCTTTAAATTTCCACCTGATATCATACGCCTTATTATGTCTTCTATCACCTCAGCATCTATTTCAGTTCTCATTAATGGGGATAAAACGAACAGCTTTACACCTACTTGTGGTATCCGGCAAGGTGATCCCCTCTCACCTTATATTTTCATATTATGTATGGAGCATCTTTCGATAAAGATCACTTCGGAAATGGACAAGGGCAATTGGAAAGGCAGCAAAGCGGGACGGAGAGGTCCTCTATTCTCTCATCTATTCTTTGCTGATGACATTATCTTTTTGGGGAAAGCCACCATGACCAACGGAGTTCTCTTGAAAAACATCTTGGATTTCTTCTGTTCTAGATCAGGACAAAAGATTAATGTGCAGAAATCCAAAATCTTATTCTCAAAAAATGTTGATCAAGCCTCTCGCAATTCTATATGTTCTATTCTAGGATACAACCAAACTGAGAATCTGGGCAAATATTTGGGTATCCCTGTTTCAGCTTATAAGTTGAACAAGAGGCATTGTCAATTCATTGTGGATAAAGTCAGATCGAAACTTGCTGGGTGGAAAACCAAGTTTCTTTCCATGGCAGGTCGTACTACGTTAGCAAAATCTGTGTTAGCTGCTGTTCCTAATTATTACATGCAAACTACTTACCTGCCTACTTCTATCCATAATGAATTAGACAGGATTTCGAGGAATTTTATTTGGGGAGCTGATGTTGAACAAAAAAAAATCCATCTTGTATGCTGGGATAAGGTTACTCAACCTAAAGGAGCTGGAGGTCTTGGAATTAAAAGCGCCAAGGAAGCCAACATTGTTGCCATGACCAAACTTAATTGGCGCTTGCACAAGGATAAGGACAAACTCTGGACCACTCTCTTTAGAAATAAATATAGTTTTACTAACCCTCACTACTCTTACTCTTTTTCAGGTTCTCCTACCTGGAAAGCAATTGGGAAAGGTCATAGTTTATTTTGTAAAGGCATCAAATGGATCCCCAGGGATGGTAAAAACATTAGCTTTTGGAAGGACTACTGGGTTGGTAACTCCCCCTTGTTTTCCATCCTTTTTGGTCCTCATCAAAGTAATTATTCTTCAATCACTGTTGCTGATTATCTTCATGCAGGACCTGATGGTCCTAAGCTTATTGGATATCAGCTACCCGAAGAAATTAATATATCTATTTCTTCTATACCACTCTCAATTTATCAAAGTAGAGATGATACTTTTGCTTGGAAAGATTCTGCTAATGGGAAATTTTCTGCATCATCAGCTTATGCTATATGTAAAAATATTCCTCATGAAGCTGTTAAGAAATACAATTGGATTTGGAGATCACCCACGATCCCAAAGATCCAATATTTTCTCTGGCTTCTATCCCACCAAAGGCTTAAATGCTTTGATCTGCTTTTTAAATTGGGGATCAATACCACTGCCATGTGCCCCCGTTGCCAACATCAACATGAAACTGTTGAGCACATCTTGCGTTCTTGCCCTTTATCTCAAGCTATTCTCTCTAACTTGCTACTTGATATATTCTCCCCACAACAACAAATGCTTAACTTTGTGGATTGGTTGCAGTTTAATATCAAATGTTCGATGCAAACGAACATATTGAATCTCCCTTGGAACATTATCTTTTGTTTTGCTCTATGGGGAATATGGCTGCACAGAAATCAGCAAATTTATAAGGATAAGCCGTACCCTATTTTAACTGCTCAGCAAATGATTAAAGACAGAGCTGCTGAGTACTGGAGCATTAGACCTCCATCCATTGTTAAAGTGCATGGTATAACACTTTTTAGATGGTCCAAACCTCCCCACCCCTTTCTTAAGCTAAACACGGATGGGTCTGCAATAGGGAATCCTGGGCAGACTTCCGCTGGTGGTTTATTTAGGGACAAATGGGGAAATTGGGTTATGGGTTATACTAGAAAGATTGGATGGTCGTCCATTTTGGTGGCTGAGTTATGGGCAATTAGGGATGGTCTCAGACTTGCTATTGATAGAAATATATCTCATTTAATTGTGGAGTCTGATTCTGCTATTGCAATTTCTTTATTATCTGAAGACCCCTCGGAGTCTCATCCCCTCAGTACTCTTATTCTTGACTGCAGGGACATGCTGCAACAAATACCTCATATTA